AGTAACAAAATTGAATGACTTATTCTATTTGATTATCTAGTTTAACTGTTTATGAGTATTGTGGTGTTTGCATGAAATTGTTTTAGTTTGAGCATGTTTGTGAAATAAATGTTTTGTGCATGAAGATGATTTTCAAAGAAAGGAGTTGATATTACTATATGATTATTATGCTTTGTATATGGATCAAAATACAAACATGTGGTTTGTATATGAGCATGATCATGATAGGGGGTAGGAGTTCACCCATAGGGAGAAGTAGAAGAAGTCCATATGGCATATATTCTCTTGAGTGCCCAATAGGGTACGGTGTTTGGATAAGTGATATCTCTTAAGTACCTAGCGAGGTATGGTATTGGAAATTATCTCCTAAGTTCTCATTTGGGTATGAAGTCAGAGATTTGATCTCTTGAGCATCTTTGTGATATAGTGTTAGAGTAACGACACCCCAATCATGTGTGGTAGGGAAAAATCATAGTCTGAAAATAGGATAAAATGCCTTTAGCCCAGTGATTGTACCATTGAAGGTGTACTTAAGTCAATGTGTGATTGGCCTAATAAAGCTTATGTTTTTGGTCGAAGTGATATAAAGGTTTAGATGTAGATGATCATGCTAATGGTGATGATTTGATGTAAAATAATTTTATGAAAAGAAACTTATGTTTATATGGCTATACCTATTTACAATTAAACTTTACTTATTTACAGTTATGCGTAATAATTAGTAATAGTGAGTTATCCTGTTATTGAGATGTTTATCTCACCTTATGGTTAAATTTTACAACCATGAGTAGTGAGTAGGGCAAAGAGAAAGATTCAGGACTGGCATAGTGGTGTGATTTCATGCATTTTAAAAGTGAATTGTGTAATGAATATGCCTTTGTTGTAAATATATAATGATTTAAGTTGCCATAGTATGCATTAACATGTTTTTGGCATAATGTGTGGTGATTAGGAATCTTAGCCTTGTGTATGTGCGAAAACATGTTTATGTGGTGAAACCTATAATAATGGGCTAAGATTTGATTGTGAATATGTTATGGTTATATAAGTGGTTCTTGTGTAAGAAATTGGTCAATATTGTATATGTTTATGAAAGTATGAAATATAGGCCCTTTTGTGTAAAATGGATAGTTTATTGGCCAAGTATGTGTGTATGGGTGTTTGTGGTGATATATGTATGTAATTAGGTCTAATTGGTAATTGGTTCATTTAGACTTGGTTCAAGGCTCAAAGTGATTTGGTGAGACATTGTGTGAAGTTTGAACATGTTGGGTGATTAAATTTTTTAGAAAGTAACCTTTTGCACCAAAATGTTCAAATTGAGATCAAACTGTTGGATCATGTCCAAACTTGTCTCATGAGATAGCTTTTCAAATAAGCTTCGTGTGAGCACTTGAATTACTCTGATCACACACCAGAAATCCACATCTTTAAACTGCCATGACAGTACAAAATTTGTCATGTGTCATGACGTATGACATAGAAAAGGAATCTATGGTTCTATACCACATATCGCAGCCCACCTGACATATGACATGTGCTGTGGCACATGGCCCTATTTCTGAAGTTGTGATTTTTGTTTTGTTTTCTTAAAAGAAGGGCTATGTATGTGTCATATTGGCTTCTGCTATGCATTGTAGAGATATTTTTGAATAGTTTCAAATGGTTTTTGAAAAAATTTTGGGATCCCAAACCTTTTAAAGAAAATATTCTTTATTAAGAAAATATCAAGTGTGGTGAATGTGATAAACTTTTCTAATATCATATGAATATTAGGAGAGGTTACAGGGGTAAGTAAAAATGTCTTAAAATAGGCCAGGAAAAAATATTTCAATATTCAAGACATGCTTACTCCTGGAAAGCTCTTTCCCATATCTTGGTTGTGGTGACAAGCCAATCAGTAAAATATTTCCAATTGCAAGTAGTTGAGAAAATCCTATGTTTCACAAACTACTCTACTTGATATTGCAACACATCTCAATGCATCACGCATCAAGTATTTTATAAGTACATGCATTGTCTATCCAACAACTTCCCATAAAAAGAGCAATATTGCATTTGTGGCTAAACCTTATACCATGTAAATGTTAAGATATTGGCATAAGGGAGACTTGGAACTCAGTTTTGTGACAAATATATGCAAAAAATAGAGTCTTTAAATATAATTGTCATTCATTGCACTAAAAAAAGGCATATGCTACACTGGGCAAACTCAAGCTTTTAAATCAAAGGCTTGTATTAACTATATCCTATCCAATGTTATCTTTCTACACTAATTAAACCATTAGGGCTCGTTTTAACTAGTTAGTTAACTTCTTTTTAAAAGTCTTGTAATGGCAGCCACCCTAAAGCCTAGTGACAATAAGCACCCTAAAGCCTAGTAACGACTAGTACCCTTTTTAAAGTCTTATAACGACTGACACCCCTTTTAAAGCCTTGTAATTATAGGCACCCCAAAGCCTAACAGTCGACACACCTTTCAAAGCCTTATAACAATAGGCACCCCAAAGCTTAGTAATGGCTGGCACTCCTTTCAAATCCTTGTAACAGCAGGCACCCTGAAGCCCGATAATGACTAGCATCACTTTTAAAGCCTTGTAATAATGGGCACCCTGAAGCTTAAAAATAGCAAACACCCCTTTCAAAGTCTTGTAATGGCAAGCATCCTGAAGCCCATTAATCTCTAGCACCCCTTTCACAGCCCTATATCAACAAGTGCCCTAAAGCCTAATAAGAGTAAACACCCCTTTTAGGGCCCTGTAAAGCTAGACACCCTAAAGACTAGTAATACTAGGAACCTCTTTCAAAGCCTAGTAACGGTAGGCAGCTTAAAATCCAATAATGATAGGCACCCCTTTTAAAGCCCTATAATGCTAGGCATCTTAAAGCCCAGTAACAACCAATACCCCTTTTAAAACCCTATATTGGTAGGCACCTTGATGTCTAGTAATGATTGGCACTATTCTTTTAAATACCTTATACCATCTGGCACATCACCTCTATTGAAGCCTTATGAAAATAGGCACATCACTTCTACTTATTGTTGTCAATGCAACTGAAGTAATGTATTATGATAGGCAATTTTTTCAATCTTATTTCATTCTCCCATCCTTCACCTTCTCCCTTAGGAACCAAGTAAAGAGGGGCTGGATACTACATTTTGTCTAGACCTCTTTTGATTCTTATGATAGCATTAGGGTTTCATGTTTTTTTTGTGATAGTTGGATGTTTAACTGGACAAAATATGTGTTCTTATCTTTACATGCTTCTTAGGTGAGAATTTTAGAAAAATACATTAGCTACTCTCACCTATGAAACAAGTAAAGTGGGGCAACTACGAACACCGTATTTTGCTAGGGCTTCCAAATGTAAATTGAAAATAAATTAAAAAAAACCATGAATCTCTAAAACTATCAAGTGAGATATCATGAATAATACTAAGTCCTCGCAAGTATCAAATTTTGCATTAAAATTTCACAATTAAATTATTGTATAGAAAATTCACTTTGAAATTTCCTCTAGGTTTGCCATGAGTGAGACTAAATCACCATGTGCACTTAGACTATCAACCAGTGGACTGTGAGTGATACCAAACTACCGCAAGTTTCAATACTAATTATATTGTTCTCTGAGCAAAGGTATTTCCATGGAATAATTTTAAAAATAAATAAAACAATACATCCCAAAATAACATTCTCTTCGTAAAATAAACTATTAATTAAAAAACCTAAATAATAATATAGTGAACTATGTGGACTTTGATCCCCATCACAAGACATGTAGGCCCTAAGCTTTACTCCTAGGTCAAGTCCTCCCATGTAAACAAATAATTTATTTTTTTATCTTTATTTTTGCATGTGATTAAAGGGTAATTAAAATATTATTAAAAGGTCAATTAATTTTATGCAATTAATATACGATGACCATTCTTATGAACGGGTTTTGTGGAGTGTCTAATACCTTTCTCATATAGATTCGACTACCAAATTCTTTTCTCAGACCATCTTTTTTTCATCATACAGTTTTTCAATATTTTCTTAAAACTCTTGGTGGAGACTCTTATTTTTTTATATTTATTGACCTTACTTGAATCAAAAGATTTCATCTTCTTCATGCTACCTATTGTTTATATTTTGAGTTCTAATTATAATTTTGCTTGGTAGAGGGAAGGCAAGGCACACTTAAGCAATTAATGACTTTATATATTATAATGGCTTTATCTTTTACAAATCTAAAACCCGTGCGATTCCCTGTGCTGAAAGTAGATGTTTGTGTCTTCATCTTTCTTTTTTGTCTTTGACGTTTGATTTTTTTGTTGTTTTATATATATTAGAATAGCACCATAAAAGATAAGAGAGGTTTTTTTTTAATGAAAATGCTAAACATCTATAAATCAAAAGAAGTTAGAAAAGAATGATAAAAAACTGAAATATTTTTTTAATATTGTTGGAGAGGACAAATACGCATTTTAATACAAATGGGTAGATGAATCTTATATAAAAAATATTTTCTGATTTCTTTTCAAAACCTCTAAAATAAATCGCTTTTCATAAATTCTTTAAACTATATAAAAATCGCTTTTTTTAAAAAAAAACTTTAGACAAACAGGCATTGCGTAATTAATTCTTAAAATTGCACAGAAATGCAATTATAAAATGAAAAATACTTTTCTTTGTGGTATATTTCTATGTGATTTATGATAACTCTCTTTTAACAAGTTCACACATATGACTAACACAGGAAATCCAAATTCATCAAGTGTACCTAATATATCCTGTTAATTAAGCAATTAATCATATAAGATTTCTTTAATAAGGCTCTTTTGAGGTCAAGAATGGATTTTAATTACCATGTCAAGCTTATTATACCCACATGTCTAACAGAAACGTCATATATCTCATTTCAACACAGCGCTATTAATAGCACACGTGTGTGTATGTGTGTGTTGTCATGTTAAACTTAATGCAAGTGCACACTTCTTTAGTTCTTCCTACTGATCATAACTTGTAAAGATTACTATTTTCTATATAAACTATTATCGCAGGAAATCCATAACATATTATGAAGAGACATTCACTTCCATACTTCCTAACACATTTTAACAACACACCATCAGCAGCAATATATGGAAATAAAAAGGTAAAAGGAACACACACATAACCATATCCATTCCCAAAATCTCTAAACATCCTTCTCTTCGGCCAGAATTATTATTGCCCAGTACTGTTCACGCACTTGCATGTGTTGTTGCATGTGCCACAAGGCATATCGGGAGTATGACCTGTATCAGAGATAAAAGAAGTTTCACATTTAAAAATTAGAAGATAAATTATGAATATATAAAGCTTGAAATGCATCTAACTAAATGGTTTAAACTATTTTGATAGAGTAAATTATTATTTAAGCATACTAAAAATCCAAAAAGTTTAGCATGATATCAAAAGCCATTTAATTGAGGGGGGAAACAAAGAAAGGAAAGAAAGAATGAAAGATGAAGGGGGGAAAAAGAGATTGAAAAATAAATAAAAGAGAGAAGAAGGAAAAAATTAAATATTCATGAGGCCATTTGAGACTAAAAAAAAAAAAAATACAGGCACAAGAAGAAGGAAGAAAAAAATAACAATAAAATTCTTTTGAATTATAACATTTTAGTCCCTTAAAATACCATAATTCCTTTAAAGTCTCTAAAAACTTTTCTGTCATTAAAGAATTAATATAAAAGACTAAATTGCCCTTGATTGAAATAAAAATTCCAAGCCCCAAATAAGTTTTGTTCTAAGATTCATAACTTTTCTTCCTAAAATTATAAAAATTCAATAACAATTCGCAAGTTCATATTTGATATCTTAATATTCTTCAAGTTTTGCAAATGTCAATTGCCATTTACAAGTTTTGTTCTACAATTCATGACTTTAATTCTTAAGTTTGCAAGAATTTAATAACAATTCACAATTTTAATTTGAAGTCTTGATATTCCTCAAGTGTTGCAAGCATCAATTACCATTCATAAGTTTTGTTTTAAGATTCACAACTTTTCTTCTTAGATTTACAATTCAACAACAATTCATAAGTTTGAATTTAAAAATTTGATATTCCTCAAATGTTTCAAATATCAATTGCCATTTACAAGTTTTATTCTAATATTTACAATTTTTCTTCTTAAAATCTCAAGAATTCAACAGCAATTCACAAGTTCGCAAGTATCTATTCTAATACTTGGGATTTTTATTTGAATCAAGGGCAATTTGGTTTTTTATATTCATTCCTTAATGACATAATCCTTAGGAACTTCAAGAAAATTATGGCATTTCGATGAAATAAAATATCATTCAGATAATTCAAAGGAATTTTAATATCATTTTCTCAAAAAAAAAACAGTAGAGAGAATATTAAAAATAAAAAAAGTCTTAGGTTTAGAAATTAAAAAATAAATCATGAATATATAAAGCTTAAAATGTATCAAATAACATGACTTAAGCTAAATTTAATGGGACTTGGGGTGTCTCCACTTCCCAACTCTCCATTTCTTCTCCATTTCTTTAAGACAGCACCATTTTGACTGTGAAAAAATTTAAAAAAATTGAAACCAACTAAGCACTCTCACCGAGACTCGACTTCTCTCCTCCAATCATTTCCTGTACACTGTTTAAAATATTTTAAACATATCATCTATAAAATATTTATTTTTTATATTTATTAAAATTATAAAAAAAATTAATAATATGTTTTATTATTAATTTAAATAGTTCAAATTTAATATGAATGGTTTAATTTAATATTAATTTTAAATTTTATAAATAATATAATTAAATTATATTAAATATATTTTAAATAGCGCAGATTTAATATTAAAATTATAAAAAATTTAAATATTAAATTTGAATCATCAATGAAATCAAAATTGTCCAAATATTTTATACAGTGTAAAGGAAATGATTGGAGTAGAGAAGTTGGGTCTGGGTGAGGGTGCTTAGTTGATTTCAATTTTTTTTAATTATTTTAACAATCAAAACGTTGTTATTTTAAAGAAATGGAGGAGAAATGGAGAGTTGGGAAGTGGAGGCACCCCAAGTCCAATTTAATGACCTGAAGGTGGTGTCTTACGTCTCACACAAGTGGTATGATCACTTGGATGACAGGAGGTACAACCTTGCACCTGAGGGGAAGATTGTGGCGGCCGGCTGCTTGTTAACGAGTCAGAGTTAGTGATAGCCGATATCGATGGAGGGTTTTCGTGTGGCTTCCTTGATGCTGTCACTGATTCAATGTTAAGTTGCAGAAGAAGGAAGAGAAGAAAGGGTAACAATATGACTGATTTGACAGCCATGACTGATCAAAACAGTAGCTTTGGAAAGATTAATACGGAGATGAGACTAGTAGTACTTGTTGTTGGTGGTGATTATCTACCGATGAGACTGCTATTTATAACATGAGAGACTGCTAAGATCCCAAGTGCGATCATATGAAATGAGATTTTGGCTCCCACAGAGATCAGAGATGTCTCTGCTAGATTAGAATTTTTCTTTTTGTTTTTTTTTTTTAATGGAATCACAGTAAGAGAGAGGTAAGCATTGGATCAATACTGTTTTCCAAATTAGCCAAGTCCAGCATTTCTTGACTGTTAAAATTCCTCACAGCCATTTATTTAAAATAATTATTTTCGATGGAGAAGGGCATGGGCCGTTAGTAGACAACACTAGCAACTACGTGCATTAAGGTAAAGGTATTAAAATATGCAATATGAGATGGAAGATTTATTTTAGTTTTATTATAATTATAAGTCATATTATTAAATTTTTATCTTAAGTTTTCTCTTTTTTCCCTTAAATATTAGATGAGCGAAAATATGTTATTAAAGTATTATTATACTTAATATTTACAAAGTTGGAAACTTATTAAACTATTAGTTAGAGTTAATATATTTTAAGGTTTTTCTTAACTTTTATGAAAAAAAATTGAAAATTTATTGAAATCTTAGATAAAATTAATAAATATTGAGGTTTTACTTAATTTTAAATAAATATATTAAAAGTGAATTATAAATAAGATAAAAAAGAATACTATATATACTTTGGATTTAAATATAAGACATTTTCTACTCACCAGTGCTGGTCTAAAATGTAGAATAATAACTTTTTTACCATGCATTTTAATTATACAAATCACATCTAACTATTTTTTTAATATTTATAAAATGGTTAAAAGTATCATTTAATTATAAATATATATATATATATATATATACGCGCGCGCGCGCGCCCGCAAGCGCCCACAGCTTTAACTAGTGCACAAGCTCACGGTATTCTAAAATAAGTACGGCATGAAAAAAATTCGAGGCTTGTTGCGCAATAATTATTCACCTTTTTCACTTCGCTTGAATAGCAGATGTCACTCAGTTTGGTTAGGAATATAATGCATGGAGGATATAATAACTGAACACATATGTTACGAGCCAAATCATAAATTAAAGTGAGGAGCATCATGATGCCAACAGAATTTGTTCCCATAATATTTTATGTAATGATAGAGCCGATTGTTTTCAAATAAAGCTGACAATACCGGTCACAAACCATGCTAAACTAGCTGAACAATCCTACCATTCACATACCACTGCTGCAAAAAAAATCACTTCATCAATAATAATTAACATCAGATATTAGAAAATTGATGTGGAAAATTGAACAATTTTTAGTAAATAAAATGATTAAAAATAAGTTCTTATAACAAATTGATGTAGAATTTAATATCTATATTTGCTTCGAGTCTCCTACCTCAAACAAGAGTTGAGGTAGGCTTTGGAAGGGTTCGGATGATCATTAATTTGAAGCTAATTGTGTGATAGCTCACTGAAATTAAAGTAGCATTGGAAAGTCAAATGTGAGTTAATTTGAGGTATGGAGACTATATAAATATTAATCAGTTTTTCTCCTTTTCTTGAATTAATAATTTAAATTAGTTTGATGATCAATATAAATATGCATTGCTTGAGGTATTGCATAATCGTTATTAGAAGAATATTCTAAAAACGTATTAGAAGTTGTCCGGGAAATTAAAAATAATTAAGTTTTATACTTCCATTATCCCTGTATATGTCCCTCCCATATTTACTTGTCCTGATAATTAGTATTTTTATTTAGTACCTAAATTAATATATGTTTTTTTTCCAAATTTTAAGGTAAAATAATTACTTGATTCTAATAATACTTTTGCAAAATGGAGGGCATCAAATGGAGATAGTTGGTAAGATTTAAAATGAAAAATATTTATATAAATTAGATGTACTACATCATTTGTAACATATCCAATTAAAATACTTCAACTAATCTAAATAAAATCTTATATGATATTTTTTTAAATTAATTTTATTTTTATAATATAATACATATTTTATTTATTACCTTTTCTCTTTCTATTATTATTAATATCATAATCAATTTAAATTTAATGTTATTTAAATGTCATATTTTTATTAGATAGATCACAAATAACGTGGCTCATCTAATCTATCAAAGTATTCTTTTATTTAAAATAGGGTGACATTAAATGGAAAGCAAAACTGAGAAAGGAAAAAAAATATTTTGTACATCATTCATAGATTTTGGTTTTTTACCTTAATTTATGCATGTTTTATGTAAGGACAAGTAAATAGACATCGAGGAGGCAATATATAAGAGAGAAAATTAGCTCAATAGCATCAAAAAATATAACTCATAAATTATGAATGAGGTTTTTAAATATTTTGAAATATGGCCCATTCATAAAATCAATTAGATGTGTTTCTCCCTTTTTATCCTTAGAATAAATTTATTATTAAAACAAAATATATTTGATTTCACTAATCTTTAACTGATTAGATTTTTTATTTTTATCATTAAAAATCATATTGTGCATGCTCCCCCTCTCATTTATCATCTCTGAATATTTTTTTATCAAATTTTTGGATTAGATTTTTCTGGATCATTATATTGATTTCTCGTTCAGTGCTTTTCTTCATCATAATTTTTTATTTAATTTTCCTAGATCACCATCTTCATCACAAAGCTTTTCCTCTCTCTACCTCTCTGTTTTCCCCAAATATTATGAAGAAGACATTAAACATTAAAAAGAAAACTCTATTACTGATCTATAATACTATATCATTGATATAAGGTTGCATATCAATGATAAACAAATTGGTAAGTTTTCACTGATATGACTTATATAAGTTTTCAGTAATATATAATAATATATCACTGATGTACTATCATAGATCAACATAATCAAAAAATTAAATAAAAACTTATTTATAATTAATATATAGTCGTATATCAATGATGTAGTATCATAGATCAATAACACAAAAAACACATAATTATTTGTCTAAAATAAATCAAACAAAATCTCAAAAAACCCTTACTAGAATTCTGACTTAATATGTAACAGAGTTTGACCGGACTTCCTCACCATGAATTTGTAGCTTTAGTGTAGCTTTGTGTAGAAGCTACAATTTCAAACTTCCTCATCTTGCATTCATGATTTTTCAACCTGAATTTATAGTTTCTAGTCTGCCTCGCCTTGCGTTTGTGTGGTCTCCTAGCTAAATTTCTAACTTCGTTTATCCACTGGTGTGAGTTGTTTTGTCGTATATTGTCAGTTTCTTTGTCATTGTGACCGAGAGTGCAGTGTCATCTTCACGTTTTTGGGTGGGTGAAAGCGAAACTAGTGTAAAAAAAGGAAATCAAGATATTGTGAGGTTTAAGGATAGTTTTATCTTTTATATTAAAAGTAAATTAAGAAACTATCATTATCTTAATTTAAAAAAAAGTGAGTTATTAATTTTATTTAGTTGTATAATATTGACTAAATTTATTAAAATCTTTGTGTAAAATTGCATCTGGGTCCAGGATCAGTTTAATATGGCGTGGATCTAACTCTGTATATGCAGCGGAAAATGGGAAACCAATGGGCATTTCTAGGTCAGGGGCAGAAGCGTTGATATTGACGTGGCATAGTTAATCAAGAAAAAAGACTTTTGAGTGGAAACTTTTAAGAACGCACTAACTTTATTAAAGAAAGCTATATTTATGCCGTACGTGATTGTTGATTCGTGTGGTTTTTAAGCAGAATCATTTTATCTAGAGAAAATAACAATCAAGAATCAACTAAATAAATTTATATTAATTAAAAATTATTTATTATTAAAATTTAAACGAATATTTATTAATTTAAATTAGTCTTTTATTAATAAGTATACATTAAATTTTTAATAATAATTCATTTTAATTAATAATAATTCATTTAAAATTATTTTTTATTTAAATTTTAATAATAATTAATTATTAACTGTTATAAATTTACTCCACCAGTCTTTCATTGTTGTTTCCCTTTTAATTACTTTACTCTTTGGGAAGACAACTTATCTAGGGGAAATTTTGGTGCCATTCTCACAGTTATTTCTTGAACCTAGAAGGCTTCAATTTATACATGCTGACTTGGAAGAGGCAAAATTTTCATCCGATCCTTGCCATATATTATATTATCTTTTCATTTGATATGTATTGTTGATAAATTTTAATTTCAATAGAAGGAACACTTGGCTGCTGTTGCATATGTGGAAGTGTTGATTATAATATATTAATATATGCTCTTGATTGGGATCCGAATATTATATTCAATTAAATAGTATTTAATTTAATATATCTATTTAAATTAGTTTTAATCAAATCAAGAATTAAATAAAGATTTAATCTTGATTAAATCCAATATATCTTATTTATAAATATATTATATTTATTGGACTTATATTATCGTACTCTATATGTCATAGAGAGATTTGATTTACCACGGTTAAAATGCATGATTCCTGAATTTAACACAACCACCTACACGTTATGTAGGGTGTAACATTCCATTTTTATTTAACAATTTTAATTTAATAAAATTATAAGATTAAGTTTTTATTTATGAATTTAATTTAAGAAAATTATAAGGTTTAGTTAACAATTAAATTGTGTTTTTAGGAAAATTGAGGTTAATGAGTTTGGGCACCATTCTTATGTGAAGAAAAGCCTAATATTAAAGCCTAATGTAAGTTTCACTAAGTAGAGAAAAGAGAGGTCAGATTAGGTTATATTATATCCGAGATTATGTTACCACCATTTGAGAGAGAAGCAGAGAGAAAATTGTTTTTGCATGTACACAACGTGGTCTTGTTAAATCAACATTTACGAATACATTCGTCGTTGGATTGGACTTATATTTGGTCATAAAATTTGTAACATCTAGCTTGTCCTTTTTAATGGTTAGATCATTGATTATTTTTCTGATTAAAGAGTTACTAGCTTCGTCATTCGCAACAGTTTTTTTTGCATCTTCACAAAGCAATCTTAGTAAATTGAAGTTTTAAAATTTGTTCACCATTG